ATATTATGAATGGGAGTTAAGGTTAGTAGGAAAATTATGTTTGGGAACTATGGTGAAGATATTAGTTTGATTTTGTCAATGTTAAGGTTAATTATTTAGTTAGAAGTATATTTGGCATGTATATTTTTGTTGCTATAATTGTTGTTTATAATATTTTAGTTGCATTGCAAATGATTACATTTTACATTATTTTGTCTTGTTTTGATTGATGTTTAATTTGAACCGTTTTATTAGATGGAAGACATATTTCGGGAGCAGTTATGGCGAAAGCAGGGTCGTCCTAGAGAAATATACCCCGACGAGTCTAGCAAAGATGCCCCCGTCCATCCTGAACTCCCTGTCCCTAATTGTGACTGTGGTCGTCTGACCGACGTGTTTCAATCGAGACATCCTGACACAGCGGCTCGTTGCTTCTACACGTGCAGTCGTTTTAATGTAAGTAATTATTTCCACTATCTTTTTCTTCTTCATTTGTATTACTAGATTACTAATATTTTGTTGAATTTTTGTTGTGTAAGACCATGAGAGGTGCTTTTTCTTTCAGTGTATCGACGATGCAGACAAGTTTGACCACAGGTACCTCCTTTTCGACGATTGGTGGAGAGGGCGACATCCACGAGATCACTTCGAGCGGTGGGTTCCACCTCCCCCTAACCCCCCTCCAATGACGGCTAAGGAGAAGCACTTAGCCGTAGTTAGACGACTCGAGGAACCTCCTCTGTGCCATTGCGGAGACCGAGCCGTGATAAACCCTGACAATACATTAGAGTTTGTGTCCAAACAAGCATGAAGTAAGTGCAAAGTGTATTTGTTGAAATGTTGAGCTATATGTGTCATGTACTAATGTCACGTTATATAGGTGTATTCAATGGCGAAGTGTCGTTTCAAGGAATGGTTGTATGGTCCTAAGAATAAATAGCCCAAAGAACCTCCAAAAGCAAAACAAAAGAAGAAAGAAAGGTTAATTTACAAAGCACCACCAGTCAAGTGCGAATGTAGTGTTAAATCTAACTACGGTCTAGTCCCTTCGATGCTTGGAATAGGCCATTATTGCGGCCATATGATTGACTATGATAAGATTGGTTATTTTTGTGGTAACCATGAAATCGTATTTTGTTTCTTTTGCTAAGGCATATATGATATAATATATCGTTTGAACATAGCACAAGGAAATGCAGGTGGGAATGTTATGATGGTCAAGCTAAGTTCTTGGATGAACTGAAGAGGAAGCAAGTAATTGCACGGAAGAGGGGATATGGACCTGACTACGTCAACCTTTTCGTTAAACATCACAAAGACAAGATGCGTGAGTTCGCTAGACAACGCGGTATTTGTAACCCGATCGACGTTGGGCTTGTCAAATGGGGATTGGAGAGACGGATGACATTAGAGGAGGAGAGGGAAAGGAATGAGGCAAGGGAGGAGACAAGAGTATAGATGTAGGTCTTGAACGAGCATGTTGTTTCATTATGTGCCAGTGAGTGTTTGAAAGCCTTTTTTCGTTGCCTGATTTTAAATGTAATATAATCGCGTTGCTAACTGATTGCATTTTATACATGAAGGGATTGGATGTGCAGCGAGGACCATGCTACAGAGGTGGCCCATGCAATGTACAAGAAAAAGAAGCTAGATGAGCACAGAAAGCGAGCTGGTCGCACCGTTGAATCACTGATTGTGTTGTCTGATGAGTGGGACGAGGATGAGGACGATACTGCCAGACTCAGCGAGCTCATCACTCTAGCAGAGGCAGGCTTGCAGGTGGATGAGGCTAAAGACGACACTGCTAGACTGAGCGAGCTCATCGCTCTAGCAAAGGCGGGCTTGCAGGCGGAGGAGGCTGAGGACAACACTGCCAGACTAAACTGGTACTGACATAGCATCAGCCGGTGTTGTCATAGCATTTGTACCTCCTTGGTCATCATCAGAATTGTCTAAATCACTGCTAACTATATCACCGATCCTGTCCTCCTCCTCCTGCTCCTTCTCTTCCCGTTTGAACTCATTCACATCGAAGTCATTGCTTATACAGCCTACTACAGTTGAATGAAACTGCTCCTGCGTCAACTGACCGTCCAAATCCATGTTATCCTGAGTTGCTTCCCCTTCAACCCCTAATTCTTGTTTATTGCCTCCAAAACCATTAATGGACGGACCGTCCTGAACACCATGCATCCTGTACCCATTCTCCACCACCACCTCGGCCATGGGCACATTGAAACCTTGGAGAACCCTAGTGTAGCGGGACCAGTGAGCAGGGTCGCACAAGGGTATGAGGACATAGTGTGTCCTAGTCTTTCCAGTATCAAACCTCCCCTTCAGTGTGAAATCACCGCCAAACTTGTATTCAAACGGACACAATGATCGTTGAAGCCAGGAGGTTCATCAAACAATTTCAATTCTTCTTCCATATCCTCAAACATACCATCTTCTCTTCTAACACTTTCTCCGTACAAAACTCTAACACAACAATTCATCTGCAAAAGCATTTTAAGAAACTTCATCAAGTCGTCAAAATCATCGTACGTAATATCCATACTAATATTAATACATTTTCAAACTATAACTATACTAACTAATCAAATATTAACATCTATATAAGGCTAACTACAACAACTAAATAGACTAAATCCAATGTACAACTAAAGTCAACAACTGTACTAACTAAACTACCTAACTTTACTACCTATACTAACTTATTATATTACGTATACTAACTAAACTAACTAACTTTACTAACTATACTTTAATAATTTTACTAACTTTATTAACTGTGCTAACTATATTAGTGGAGTACCACGTAGCGCGCAAGACCGGGCCGGGAGACGCGGGCGCAGGCCTAGGCGGGCAGCCGCCGTGCGTGACCGGAGGTTCTGGCCGGAGGGGCAGGCGCGCCGGCGAGCGGGCACGGCGGCCGCACCGGGCGGCCGGCGGCCTGGCTGCCTGGCTGGGCGGGCGGGCTGGCTGGCGTGGGCGGACGCGGCCGCGGCTGACGGCGTGCTCGGCGGCTAGGCTGCCTTGCTGCGCTACTCGGGGAACGGCGATTGCTCGGGCACGCGGGTCACGGCGGAGGTTATACCCAGCTCTGTCGCGCCACGTATCAAGGCGCGGCAGAGCCCTACCACATCAGCGGTCAGCACTTCTGGTCGCCGCCACGTCAGCCCTCTGCCGCGTCACCATGTATGGCGCGGCAAAAGCATTTGGCCGCGCCAGGGCAATAGGCGCGGTCAAAAGTGTTAGTTTTTTAAAAAAACGATAGTGTTAGATTTAAAATTAGTTTTAAAAAAATGTTAAAATAAAAAAAAAATCCAAGCTGTTAGGCCCGGTTTGTTACAGCTTTAGCTTCAAGAATCTCATGGAGTTGGGATGCTTGTCCACACAATTGGTCGACAAGATTTGACATATTATTTTTTTAGTAAATTTTGGATGTTTGTATAGCATTTGAAAATAACAACAGCCTGTTCGGTTGGCTGGTTCGTATCGTTGCTGGTTTGTGAAGAAGTACTGCTGGCTGGTTTGTGTGAGAGAAAAATATTATTCCGACTGAAAATTTACGATCGTTTACAACAAGCCACAGCCAAACAAACAGGCTGAAAGCATTCCTTCCATCTATTGTTTTCACAAAGTCAAGTGCGCAGCGAAACTGATATATCAGTTTATCGGCACGGACCGATATTTAACTTGTATTGGTCAAAATTTTTGGGAATTTAAATTTGACCCACAAGAATTTGGTCCTACAAACGCGTGCCAGCCAAAAACAAGTGGGTAAAACTTTCATGGTAGCCTAACCCTAAAAATCTATCCATTTACACCTCTCCTCTTCCTTTCCAAGCCAAGCCACTCTGTTCTCTCCTGGTGGCGTGCTGAGCTCTAAAGTGTTATATACTTATTATTTTCATACTATTTTGTAGTACTTTTTATATCAAATGGTTCCGATATATATTACGCAACTTTTCTATGAATTAAAGAGTTTTAATATAATATAAATTCTGGCAGAAAATTTTCTTGTATCACCAATAAATTTCTAATTTTTTTTAAATTTTTATATTCCTGTTTATGCGTGACCAAACCGTACTGATATTTAAAAAGAATATCTATAGTGTAAACCCTGGACAAAACAGGTCCTTAGTAACTTAGTATAATTCCTTTACCGGTGAACGAATGAGAGTGCATTGCAATGCTATTATTTTACACATCTCTTTTATTTCAGATACCTAAATTTTTAGAAGATTTCAGAGAACACTCTTATACTACCAATTAGTACAAATAAATTGTCACTTTGGTGGTTTGTTATTTGACTTTGTGTCATAACATATCAAACTTGTGTCATTGTCTGACTATAAAAATAATTGTAAATTGTTAAATTATCTTTATGCCAACACATATCAGATTTTCTTATGTCTGTGGTTTTGTCTAACAGATTTTTTTATTCTCGAAACAAAAAATTACGGATTGTGTCTACAGAAATTGCAACGAACTAAAACTGATATTTTAGTATAAAATATATGCAATAACCCCATCGCCTGAAATAAAACTAAAATTCAGGCACCTGAAATTTAGCAAATCCGATTATTTTAACTGCTGGTAAAATTCTAAACTATGTTACGCACATTGACACTGATTGGCCCCTGCCACGTCTTGGTAACTTTTTTATGCTACCAATGAATAATTCTGATTTCCTTATTATAGATATATAGGGCATTCAATGATTTATGCGATAACTGCACAAATTATATATCTAAGCACTCGATTTGAAGTGCCAGGTATACAAACAAGAACCCCAAAAAAATAGCCATCGAAACCTTCTCAAAAACAACATAACACACAATATATACGTACCTACAAAATGTTTTCCCATCATCTACATATCACTCAGGTTTTCCTTTCTCTTTTCTGTGATACAAGGACTATCGCACTCAGTTATTGCAATCCTGCAGCACCAAGTGTGTCGATCTCACAACCTGTTCTGTACGTACGTGCTCCCAAACAACTACACGGCTAGGTCATCTGCTCTCGATTTCCGTGGGCCGCCACGTCGTCTTCCTGGCGCACAGCATTGCCTCCTTGTTCTTGGAGACGGTCATCCTGACCTCCCACTGCAATGACCTCACCACGCCCTGGATCTCGTCCACCGTCTCCTTGTCGTCCCGCACGATGAGCTTGCCGTTCGGCCTCAGGATCCGGTCCACCTCCACGATCACCGGCAACACCTTGCACCTGCCAATGATCCAAACAACAGAGCAACGGATTCGTGTTCATGTCGATCGTCATCCGCGCGCTTGAGCGATGGATAACCATGGCCTCCGTTCTCTTCCTACACCTATACCTGGGCTTGAGCTTGGAGAAGAGGTGGTCAGCATGGAGGAGGTCGTAGGACCTCGGGTAGGTGCTGAAGGACTCGCACCAGTCATGGTAGATCCCGAACAGCCCGCGCTCGTAGATCACCGGCAGCGTGTCCGGCGAGTCGATGGTTACCACGTTCATGACCCACACCTTCATCTCCCGCAGCACGGCCGCGAACCCTCCGTAGACGGCCCTCATGTCCATGACGTTCCGGACGGTCTTCCAGTCGATGCCCATGCCGGCGAGGTACGAGCTCCGGACCACCTTCCTCCAGTGCTGCAGGTCCGCCGCGAAGTCGTCCGGAGCCGGCTTGCCGTACACGCCCACCTGGCTGCGGTCCAGCCAGTAGGGCGCCTTCCGCAGCCTCTCCGGCCACAGCGCCGGCCACCGGGCGCCGCGCACTGACTGGTCCTCGGGAACACGGTGCATACACGCCCGGAACTTTATGTTCCTGCATGCATGTCAAGGTTCGTTGTCGTCAGTTTCCGGTCTGACGTGGCAAGTAGTAGTTCAGACAGTGGTCTTTGTCTTGTTACCATGCAGCGTTGGGGTCGTCGGAGGGCTCGCACAACGCCGGCTCCTTCTCCGGCCTCTTGTCATAGCAGACGTTGTTCACCGGCTTCTGGAAGATGACGAGGCCGACCAGGTCGACGGTGTCCCTGGTCTTCGCCACCATCTCCCAGCACATCGCCTTGGTCAGCTTCACCATTTCTGCAAGACCCACCAGACCAACAACGTTGTGACCAACTCACGATCGATCGATCTTGTTTGTCTCGATCGGCAGTGGCGGCGGCGTCCATGCATGCATATATAATGCCTTTGCGGCCTTGCAAGGGGGAAAAACGAGCGAGAGCTGACCGTCCCAGATCTCCACGTCCTCCGGGAGCTTCTGGTACACCGGCGTGGCGGACCAGACGAAGAAGCCGCCGGGGCGGAGCAGGCGGTTGAGCTCGAGGAGGAGCATGCCGCCGTCGATGTGCCACGGCACGCGGCACCGCGCGCAGTGAACGACGTCGAAGACGTTGGCGGGGAACGGGAGGCGCTGCGTGCCCATCACGGCGGAGATGGCCGGGATGCCGCGCTCCAGCGCGAACTGCACCTGCGCCTCGTGCTCGTCCTTGGGCGCCAGCGACATGGTCAGCGTGTCGCGGTCGAACAGGTACCCGCCGAAGCTGGCCACGCCGCAGCCGACGTCCAGCACCACGCGGCTGCGCCTGCCCCACGCCACGTCCGGGAACGAGTTCTGGATCAGCTCGATGTAGTGCAGCGCGCCGTGCTTGAACTGCGTGCCGCCGCCCGGGAACGTCAGGTACTCGCCGGAGACCTTCACCCAGTTCTGGTGCCCCTTGTACTCCGCCAGCTTGGTGTGCGGCACATTGTAGTACCAGATCTTGTCGCGGCTGTGCGGCCACCGGATCGGCTCCCGGTACTCCGGCGGCGCCGGGACCAGGCACGTCGGCGCCTCCTCGGGGCAGTGCCGCTCCCGGTGCTCGTAGTGCTTGTCCGTCTTGAGCTTCTTGATGGCCGCCACGTTGTCCAGGCACGGGATGTAGTCTGCGCCGGCGCTCGAGTTGCACAGTTTCCACTCCACCGTGGCGACGGCGCCGGCCACCTTGTTCTTTCCTTTCTTCCCCTTCTTCTCGGCGCGCTTCTTCTTCTCCTCGGTGGACTCCGCCGCCTGCGTCGTGAACGATCCGTTCTGTGCCGCGCGCTCCGTTAGTAGCTCTGCCTGGACGTTCGGCTGCGCGTCCGCTGCTGCAGGCAGCTGCTGCTCGACACCGTCCTGTTTCTTCTCGTCTTCGGAAGTCGTTGTGGATGCGGTGGTGGTGTCGTCAGTGGCGACCGCCGACGCCTCGTCCTGCTTGTCAGTGTCGGTGGCTGTCGCGGTCGCCGTCGCTGCTTTGGCCGACGGCTTCACCGTCAACGCGGCGCCTTCGACCATGGCACTCTCCTCCGAGATGCGAGTCTTGTTACCGTCGTCCTTCACAAGGTCGACGCCGTCCATCTTGCCGTTCTCGTCATCGAACGTGAGCTTCTTGGCCGTGCCACCGCCAGCCTCCGCGCTGCTCTCCTTGACGACGCCGGTCGCCGCCGCCTGCTCTGTTGCGCTCGCCTTCGTGTCCGTGGCCGTCTGCTCGGCGGCGCTCTGATCCAGACGGCCGGCATCCTTGGTGTCGATCGGCGCCTGCTCCTTGGCGGCGGCATCGACCTTGGCATCGTTCTCCATCGCCGCCTCCTCGCCGGTGCCCTTGTCCTGCCCCGCAGCGGCGGCGTCCGTCTCGCCGCCGCCCGGCTTGACGAGCTCCCCGCCCTCGGTCCTGCCGTTCTCGTCGTCGAACGACTGGTCCTTGGACGCCGCCGCCGCCTTCCCGCCGTCGCCTTCTGCTGCTCCGCTGTCACCGGGCTTGCCCGGGACGTCGATATCCTCGGCGCCCTCGGCGGCGGCGGCGGCGGCACCGGCCGTGGCCGCCTCCGCGACGACGTTGGCGCTGTCCTGCTTGACGGTGTTGGTGGCGTCGATGGAGCTGTCCTCCTCCTTGACGTCGGCCTTGACGACCGCCTTCTCCGAGGACAGGGAAATGGCCGCCGGGACGGTCTCCGGCGAGGACATCATCCACAGGCCGAGGAGGCAGAGCGCGACGAACACGACGAAGGTCGCCGTGGAGTAGAACGACGACCTCTGCCTCTGGTTCCGATCGAACAGGGCCATCCTCTCCTCTGTTTTGGATCAGCTCATGCAAATCCCCTCTGAATCCGAGTGCGGAGTGCGGAGATTAGTAATGAAATTTGGTCGAGAACTACAACCAAATCAAAAAAAATTCAGGCATCCATTGTTACCTAATTTGGATCAATCTCCCTAACAAGTCCCAACGAGAAACAAATCCATTCACACCTGCAGCAGTGGTCTGTGTTGTTTCATGATTCCGGATTCTCCCGAAGGCGAGTGTGCATGCGCGTTCTTAAGGGCGCCGCGGGTGGCAAGTTTGGACGAAGGGAAGAGAGCGTAAAGCGGGGGAGTGAGCGAGAGACAGGCGGGGCCAACACACAGGCCACTCCCCGGCTTTGGTGCGCCATGCCCATGCATGCAGAAATTGCAGATACAACAGTACGAAGAAGACGACGATCTACAACTAGGCCAGCCCAAGGTCCGTTCTGTTTTTATAAGAAACTAGCAACCCAAAGTACACCTTGTTCATGTTATCTATTCTAATATGTATTTGAATTAGCCTTCGTATGATGGCCGGACGCACAAATACGTATGATTCTAAAGCAATGTTCATGCGGCATGATCCAAGCGAGATAATGAGATACGTATAGGCATTGTGGGACGTAAAAAGACGAATGGAAGAATCCTAGCCGGATTCAAGAGGGAGAAAGAGTAGAGATGGGAACGGACCGGGTTGACCCATTGGATAGTTAACCTAACCTATAAAAGTAAGGCCAGTGGATCGTATGGATCGGTCTCAAAGTCTAAAATAGGTCGATCTAATAGTCATATAATAACCTTTTAAAATTTCAGTTTTTTCTTCATCTTTTATAAGCATGGTTCATCATAACTTATAAGTACATCTATGGTTTAAAGTAGTTTGAGGAATATCATATTTCAGAACTAAAAGCAGATAAAATTAAGTACATCTATAGTAAGCATGGAAGGAAGGATGGCTACCTAAGAACATCTCTAGCAGTACTACCTAAATCAGACTACCTAAATGTCTGTTTGGGTAGCCATCTAATTTTCTACTACCCATATTTTGCTTCCGACTACAGCAGTACTACCTAAAATAGGCTACCCAAACCGATGCTAGTAGACAATGACAGGTGGGTCCCCTGTGTCATTCTCACTCGTGTTTTCTCGCCGGAGCAGATGGAGCACCGGGGACAAGGCAGGGGCACCGCGCCGGTGCTGGCAAGGGGCAAAGGATGCTGATTGGGAGGGTAGGTGAAACGTCCTTGTGTGGTTTTGGTAATTGAGTGACAACTTAGGTGGACTAATGGTGTTTATGTGAGATACACAGGTGATTAGTTCACAGGTACATGTGTGTGAGCAACATATGCCATAAAGGTGAAGATGGCTTGAATATGTTGCAAAGCTCGCACATGTGATGATGAAGGAGCTTAAATGCACATGAGACATGACATTGAGTCATGTGATCAAGGTGGAGAAGATCAAGACAAGACCTGGCTTGATGGACCGGTTGCAAGCGTGAAGGGCAAGTCGAAGGCTTTGGAGTGATGGACCTCGTGGCGGTGAAGCTTGAGCAAGACTTGGCGCCGATGGACGATGGCAATGGTGAAGAGCAAGTAAAGTCAAGATCGATGAACCAATATGATCATGTGATGATATGAAGTGGATCATATCATTGTTGATCGTGTTGGTGCATGTGTTGCATCGACATTGGAGGAGATGGAATGGAATGCGCAAGGCAAAGGTATAACCTAGGGTATTTTATTTTACCGGTCATAGGTGTGTAGAGAAGTATATGACCGGGTTTAGGATAGATGGCCGTACTATCAAGAGGGGCAAACTTGTTTGCATATCGGTCATCTAGTGCCACTCGACTGATCTAACTTTGCATCGTCGCTAGGATCGAGTGGCGTGGCAAGTTGAGTGGCTAACATCCTTTGGGAAATGATTGTGAAAAGCTAACACACATACACATGGTGGTGTACACTTAGTGGTGTTGGCACATTTACAAAGGAGATGGAGTTGGAGTTGATGTGGATCAACTTGGTGAAGAAACTCCACCGGCACCCTAGACAAAAAAACCGAGTCTCACAGAGTGCACCAGACGCTGGTCACGTGGTGACTGGACGCTGGGGTCCTGCGTCCGGTCAATGGTAGCCGAGAGCATGCAACGTCGGTCTTCGACCGGACGCTGGCACTGGAAGTGACCGGATGCTGGCAGGGTGCGTCCGGTCAGGCTGACGTACGGTGACGCAGAAGCTGGAGTGTGACCGGACGCTGGGCTGCGTCCGATCACGTGCGATTGGACGCATCCGGTCATGTCTGGTACCTTACTGGAAACGACCGGACGCTGGGGTTGCTGCATCTGGTCAGTTGAAGCTGTTGCGTCCGGTCAGAAGATGACCGTTGAGATCGGAAGAATGCCGTTGAATGCAGTGACACGTGGCTGTCATCGGGCGACCGGACGCTGAGGTCCAGCGTCCGGTCAACACGACCGGAGCGTCCGGTCGACCCAACAGTTGCCCAGTGAAGGGGTAACGGCTAGTTTAGCCCTTGGGGCTATAAATAGAAGTGGCCTTCAGCCATGGCTGGTGCTGAGCACCTCGGGGGACTTAGTGTCCATGATTGTGAGTGCTTGGGAGCCCTCCATCTCACACATACTTGATAGTGATCATTCGATTGTGTGAGTGAGTGATTCTAGTGCGATTGCATCGTGAGGTTGCATCGAGTGGCACTAGATGATCGAGTTGCAAGCCGGTGGTGCTTGTTACTCTGGGAGGTTGCCACCTCCTAGACGGCTTGGTGGTGGTCTCCGTGGAAGCCCGCAAGAAGCTTGTGCGGCGCTCCGGAGAAGAGCTTGTGAGGGGCATTGTGCTCGCCCCGCGGGAGCCGCGAAGAGCAACTTTAGTAAAGCGTGTCATTGAGCTACCCTCACTTCCGGGGTAAGTTCATGTGGCGCCCGACGTGCGGGCTTGGCGGGTGATGCCAATTAGCCGCCGAACCACCAAGTTAGCGGTCGACACAGTGGGGACTAGCGTGTTGGCAAACACGTGAACCTCGGGAGAAAAATCATCGTGTCAACCTTGTTCTTCCCGTTGGTTTGCATTCCCGTTACACAAGCTTGTAATTACTTTTATATACATTGAGCTTGTGTTGTTGCTTTAATAATTAGTTAGCTTACGTAGCTTGCTAATTATCTTCTTGCTTGTGTAGCATAGAAGTAGCTCCCTTGCGTGGCTAATTTGGTTTGTGTAACCTTGTTAGTCACATTGCTTAGTTTGTGTAGCTAAGTAATTGCGCTATCTAATTTGGCATTGGTTGCCTTGTTATTGAGCATTGCTAGTGAGCTTAGTTGGCTTTATGCTTTTGCTTACTAGCATGTGTAGGAGCTCCCTTGTTGCTTAAAGTACTAGTGGCATAGGTTTGTGTGACCTTGCTCCTAGAATTGGTTAGGTGAGCTCTAGCTAGCCTGGCACCTTTGTTGCTTGATTAGTATCTTTGCAAGGTGCTAGTGAACATAGATAGAGGGGTGTAGTCTTGGCTAGACCGATAGTTTTAATTCCGCACTTGTTTTGGTTAGCCAACGTGATTAAGTTTAAAAAAGGACTATTCACCCCCCTCTAGTCGCCATCACGACCCTTTCAATTGGTATCAGAGCCCGGTCTCTCATTTGTGGTCTTCACCGACCCGAGAGGATGGCGAACTTTAGGCTAGAAGTTGTTTGTGACACACACATTTTTTATGGCACACACTATGCACGATGAAAACGTCATATGCTTAATCATTTTCGTGAATTGGGTCCCAAGGCATGGTGGATCATTGTTGTTGGTTTTTCTCGTGATGCCTTGGATAAGGATAACCTCACCCAAGCGCAAGAGGATTGCTTACAACTTGATCATCGTGCTCTGTATTATCTAACGTGTGCTATACATGATGATATTTTTAGATGTGTGTGGGACTTGGAGAGTGCTCATGATATGTGGCTAGCACTCCAAGCATTTTACGGTGACTCCTCCACATGGGATGATGGTAAATTCAAGAAGGAGGATGAACCAAAGAAGGAGGCGCATGAGTGTGTTAAGCATAACCATAATTTGGTGATTGTGGAAGATTGCTCCACCTCATGGTCAAGTGATGATGATGATGATCGATCAACTACAAGTTCACTTGACAAGGTAGATGATGATGCCACAAGTGCTGCAAGTGATGATGCTACCCATTGCACACTTGATGGTGATGATGGTTCATGCTCAAGCCATGATGAAGATGCTACTACATGCTCTTCTCCATCACCACATTGTCTCATGTCACAAGGTGACACCAAGGTATCAAATGATGATGTGGTTGATCATGTTGATTCATATGATGAGCTTGTTAGTAGACTTGCTAGCATGGCTATGTCTTTAGAAAATGAGAAAGCTAAAACAATGAAATTAGAAAATGAAAACTCATTTCTAAAGAACTCTTGTAAAGAACATAAGAAATTACTTAATGCTTATAAATCTTCACTTAATGAGCTAAATGTGAATCATGAGACATTACTTGCATCTCATGATGATTTATTAGAAAAGCATGCTTCTCTCATTAAAGTGTTTACAAAGAAACTTAAAAATAATAAGAGCTCATCACATGGGTCAATTGATCAATCACATGTTGTTACTAACCCTTGTGATGTAGGCAAGAAGCATGTATCCACCTCTTGTGATGATTTATTAGATATGCCATGCTCTTCACATATAGATGCTTGTTCTACTTCTATGTCTTGTGAGACTAACCTTTTGAAGGAGAACAATGAGCTTAATGAACAAGTGAAGAAGTTGAGCAACAAGTTAGAGAGGTGCTACAACTCTCAAGTCACCTTTGAGCTTATGTTGAAGACTCAAAGAAACTTTGGTGACAAGAGTGGAGTTGGCTACAAGACTAGCAAAGTCAATCATCAAGAAAGCCGCAATAACATAAGTGGCATTGCCTTCAACAAGAGCAAGATCAAAGGCAAGAGATGGGGCAAGAGAAGATATGAAAGA